CCCGACAGCTTGAAAGATGACAAATCTCTGCCCGTTTCCAAAGAAGCATCACGACCCGGCTCTGCTGTTGAAAGTGTGAAAGACGAGCACGAGAAGCCAGAAAGTGTTAAGGATGAAAAGTCTGGAGAACCTTCCAGGAGAGAATCAGTTACAGAGAGCAGTAAGCCAGAGAGTTTGAAGGACGAGAAATCGCTTCCTGTCTCCAAAGAACCATCACGACCGGGCTCTGTCGCCGAGAGTTTGAAAGAATATGAAGAGAAGCCTGGTAGTATTAAAGGCGAGAAGTCTGGAGAGCCTTCAAGAAGAGAATCCATTGCAGAGAGCATTAAGCTCGAAAGTTTGAAAGATGACAAGTCTCTTCCTGTTTCAAAGGAGACATCACGACCGGGATCCGTAGACGAAAGTGTAAAGGCTGAACAGGAACAACCTGAGGCTCTAAAAGACGACACATCCGCAGTGCCTTCCAGAAGAGAATCCGTTGTTGAGTGCAAAAAGCCTGAAAGTGTTAAAGATGACAAGTCTCTACCTGCTTCCAAGGAATCATCTCGGCCTGAGTCTGCTTTAGACAGTGTGAAGGGTGCAAATGAGAAGTCTGAATATCTAAAAGATGAAATAACAAAAGCAGGTATAATTAAAGGTGACAAATCTCCTGGCTCAGCTGATGAAAGTGTGAAAGATGATCCTGAAAGTATGAAAGATGATAAGTCTACAGAGCCTTCGCGGCGTGAATCTGTTGCAGAAAGTACCAAAATAGAAAGCACGAAAGATGACAAGTCACTTCCCGTATCCAAGGAACCCACACGTCCGGGCTCGGTAGTAGATAGTGTTGATCATGAAGAGCCCAAAGAAATTTCACGTCCCGAAAGTATACAGCATGAAATAAGTTTATCTAAAGAATTTTCTGCTCAAGACTCAGTTGTCGAGACTGCTTCTTCACCGATAGATGAAGCTAAAGACTTCGTACTCGCGGATAATGTAAATAAAGATACCTTAGTCTTAAATTTGGACTCGAAGGGTGACTATCCAACACTTTCGAGCCCTATTGATGTTGCTGAGGGTGACTTCGCAGTGGCAACTTCCCTGGCACCAAAGTCGGCAGATCAAAAGACGTCAATTCCTGTCTCGATTGGTGACACAGCATCTTCACCAATTGATGAGGCAAAAGATTTTATACCATCGGATGGTATAAAAAAAGAGACATTCGTCCTAGCTATGGAATCAAAGAGCGACTTTCCAACCCTCTCAAGTCCTATTGATGTTGCTGAGGGTGACTTCTCAGTGTCAACATCTAAGCCGCTTGATGATGAATCTCCCAAGGATAATAAGTCAGCATTGAGCTTCAAGGAAGTATCACGACCTGAATCTGTACACGAATCTTTAGCTGAAAGTCCAAAGGCAGACGATATTACTGAATCGACTGTTGAAAAACCAGAAAGTGACAAAGACAAAAAGTCTGCTACTTCTTCCCGAAGTGGATCTATTGCAGAGAGCACAAAAGTTGATGATAAGTCTCTACCGCTTACCTCAAAGGAACCATCGCGTCCAGCATCAGTGGCTGAAAGTGTGAAGTCAAAGGAATCTTCCCGTCCAACTTCAGTCGCTGAAACAGCATCGTCACCAATAGATGAAGCATCAAAAGAACCTCTTTCATTAATATTGACATCTACTGAAATGAATGCGAACTATCCAACAGTGTCCAGCCCAGTTGATATTGCTGAAGGCGAGTTTTCCCACACAACATCGGGGGCGATGGAAATAGAAAAGCCTGCTGAAGACGCCACTGTGGGAGCGGTGCTAACGGCGTCCAGCCCAGTCGATGTGGCAGATAATATTTTTAAATCGTTTACGACTTTTGAAGAACATATCATTCAACAAACAAGCCAACCTGAATCTGATGGAATCAGCTCGAGCAAAGGTACTCTGGAATCGCTAACTGATACGCTGAGTAAAAAGGCAGAAACTGTAATTGATGTAGTGAGTCAAAAACTAGAAAGTGCTAAGGAGCTAGTAGCAGAGTCTCTGGAGGGATCCAAAACAGAAACTAAAACCGATGAACAAGAGACAGAAGATTCTACTACCAAGGGTAACTTAGACTTGAGTGGATTTTCAGAGCTTCGAGAAACGCATATTACCACAGTTGACTCACCCGAATTCACAGTAACCATATGCGAACGCGACGAGAGTATTTTGCACGATATCAAGGAAGAGGATGAGGAGCACAGATTCTCGCCACCAACCGAAAAGGGAGCCATTATACCAGAGCAACCAATGCGTCCCCTCTCGCCACGCGAAGAAGAAGTTGCCAAGATAGTCGCCGATGTAGCCAAGGTATTGAAATCCGACAAAGATATTACTGACATTATACCAGGATTCAATGAGAAGCAATTGGAAGAAAAACTAAAAACCACTTCTGAACCTGAAACTGAGCCCACAGATGATTTAAAAACAATCACACCAGAGGTTCTTTCGAGAAAATTAAGTGCAACAAGGGACCTATCGTTGGATGAAAAGATATTGGATATCAAAATGATGAAGGTAGATATTGAGTCTGAAAAGTCATCACCAGATCAAAAATCTGGGCCAATTTCAATTGAAGAGAAGGACAAAATTGAGCAGTCCGAAAAAGCTCAACTCCGAGAAGGAGCTGCCAAAATGGCTGATATTGAAGTAGCTAAGGATATTTCCAGGCCGGAGTCCGTAACAAGCCAGTTGGGAGCAATCGAGTCTTTAACATCCCAAACGGAGTCCATAACAAGCCAAAAAGAAGAAAAGCTGGAAGAATCGACAATTCTGTCAAGAGAAGCATCACGACCCGAATCAGTGGCTAGTTTGAAAGAGGAACTCGATCAAAAGCATGAAAAATCGCCACCACTATCTAAGGATATTTCCAGACCCGAGTCAATTGTAAGCCACGTTAGTGAGAAGGAAATTGTCAGTGTAGAGTCGCATTCCAGACGTGAGTCAGAAATGTCTGCTGCTGACGGCGTGAAAGGCGATGGATCGGTTACAGCAAGCAAAGATGCAACGCGTCCAGGATCCGCAGCCAGCCACGTCAGCGAACAGTCATCAGAGACAAAGAAAAGCCCCCACCCGGAATCGAAAGAGAAGGAGAATGAATCCTCGCGGCCAGCATCAAGTGCCAGTCATATCAGTGCCAAGGATGAGCAGACTTCAGAGTCCCAACGCGATTCAGTACTGATAGCGACACTCGAAACCAAAAAGGAGGAAAAATCAAGCGAATCAACAAGCACATCAAAGACTGTTATAAGTCAATCTCACCTAAAAGAAGAATCTATCAGCGAATCCGTATGTAGCAGCATGAAGGCTGAGGACAGTTCACGGCGCGAGTCATTGTCCAGTCTGCTGACCGACAAGGAAATCACCAAATTGGTTACCTCTAGCGTTAAGGAAGATACTGAACATGTTACAAAGATAACGGAAAAAACGACAACATCCCAGTTGGAGGAGCTACTCATTCAGTCCGAAGAGTGTTCATCCGAGTCCATAGTCAGCGAGATTCAAACTACGAGCAGCCAGAAGCCAAGTAGTCAAATCTCAAGTAAGGAAATCACAAGCACAAGTGTTCAGGAATCAGTAAAGGACAGTCTCAAGGAAACGGTAGCTGAATTTTTGGCAACGGAGAAAATAGTTTCTGCCAAGGAAACCTTCAGCGCTAATGCTACTAAAACCGCTGATGACTGTCTAAAGATGATTTCCAGTGAAATCACCTCCCAGAAGCCGTTGTTTGTCGGCACAGATGAGTCGCGGCGTGAGTCGATGCTTAGCCAGACCAGCGAGGGTCGACAAACCCACAGCGATGTTGAGGAGGATAGCGACGATGACAGACATGCCGGTCTAAAGGAAAGTCGCTCCAAGTCCATTGCCACCATCATGATGACCAGCATCTATAAGCCCTCCGAGGAGCTTGATACGATTGAAGCGATCAAAGAAGAGGAGACTAAAGAAGAGGACGAACATGAGGCATCCAAGGAGACAAAAACCACTTCCTCCACAGACACAACCACTAAGACAACCACATTGCTGCAATCCTCTGAACAGAGCAGCAGCAGCACCACTACCACAACTAAATCAACCGACTCGAAAACCAAAGTAGAGTCGATAACACTATTACACACACAAACACAGGCTGAGCAAGCAGTGGACGGCACAGATCGCAAGACGCCGCCAACGGCACCGGTCAGTCCCAGTGTAAAGCCAGTGAGCACCACAAGCACCGCGGCCAGCTCAGGCTGTGCCAAGAGTGAGTCTAGCGCTGCCAGCGTCGCATCAACATCGGGCCCACTGTCGCCCAAAGATATTAGTGGTAAGTCTAGTCCTGGTGCTTTAACATCTGAAAGTCAATCCATACCAACACCGCTAGGGCGTGAATCACACACCGAGACACCAGAGTCATCACCCAAACCAACATCTCCGTTCCCGCGTGTCAGCAAAGACGAGCTTAGGTCCCTAGGTGCAGTGGAGGAGCCCGATTTAGCCGAGATTGGAATCGACTCCAGCGAGCTGCTGCCCGAACTGCACGAGCTGCGTGGCATTGAGAGCACCACAGCGCTGAGCGGCAGCACCGAAAAGATTATCACGACAACCATAACCACAGTCACCAAGGTTATCTCCGCGGATGGCAAGGAGATTGTGACCGAGCAAAAGACAGTTACTACAACCGATAGCTCTGAGCCAGATAGCGAGAAGGTCGTGGTAACCACAACGCGCACCACCAGCGAGAGCGAGAAGAGCGAGCGTGAGCGCGATCAAATGCTACCCAAGGAGGTGGCTGTGCTGCGTGGCACTTATCGCTCCAGCACCCCCGGCAGTGATGATGAGCGTCTGGCCGGCGCTATGAGCGATGATGACTTGCCAGGCACACCACGCAGCACCAGCTATGATCTGCAGCGCTCCAGCTCTGGGGTGAGCAAGCGCTCGGATCTGGATGGCGAGGACAGTCAGGATGATATACCGCCTCAATACGGCAGCGAAGAGCATTCCACTGCGCGCGCTATTCTGCCGCCCCGCACTGCTGATCCCATGGCAACCTCGTTCTATGGCGCACTTCCCGATAGTTTTGATGGCAAGCCCAGCACAGAGCCCATACCGATACGAGGTGCCGTGCTGATGACCTACACAGACTCACCGCCAGCCAGTCAATCGTCGGAGAGTGTGGAGAGCACCAGCCAAACCTGGGCCGGACATAAATTCCTGGATGAGGCCGACAAGGACTTCCAGAAGGCACTCGAGGAGCATGTGCAGGCGCGCGGCGCCGAGGTGATGTCTTCCGTGACCGCCAAGTATTCCTACTCGCCTTCCAAGGCCGAGGAGGTCGAGCAAATTGTCAGCAGCACTGCCGAGCGACAACGTTTCCCCCTCAGTGATGTCCACAAGGTACGCAGCGGCGACAATCTCTTGGCTAGTTTTGGCACCCTAAGTCCAGCTGGTGGAAGCCAGCAAGCAGCAAGCACTGCAACCACCACTGGCACTGAAAGCAGCCATACAGCTGCCACACCGTCAACAGCAACAGCTGCAGCAACAACTGCAGCAACATCAGCAACAACTGTAGCAACAACTGCAGCAACAACAACAGCAACAACAACAGCTAGCACAAGCAGCACTACCGGCACTCTGCCAAAGGATCGACTTGAGGAATGGGGCAAACCACTCGGCCTCCCATCACCGGCACCATTGCCGGTCGAAGGCGCCGATATTCGCACCACACCCAAGAAGGAGCGTCGCTTGGTCGCAACCAAGACGCGACTGAACAATGAGAAGAACCTGCGCAAGCGTAGCGAGTCACCCAACAAGGCTAAGAAGCCCGCACCAGTGTATGTGGATCTTACCTATGTGCCGCATAACGGCAACTCCTACTATGCGCACGTGGACTTCTTTAAGCGCGTCCGTGCTCGCTACTATGTCTTCTCCGGCACTGAGCCTAGCCGTCAGGTCTACGATGCCCTGCTGGAGGCCAAGCAAACCTGGGAAGACAAAGAGCTAGGTAAGTACCGTCAGAGAGTCAGCAACGGAACACCCCATTAACAATGATCAATCTTTGCAGAAGTTACCATTATACCGACGTATGACACTGACGTGCTGGGCTACTGGGTGGCCGAGAATGAGGAGCTGCTTGCCAAGCACCGCATCGATCTGTCGCCATCCGCTTCGCGCTGCACAATTAACTTGCAGGATCATGAGACCTCGTGCTCCGCATATCGCTTAGAGTTCTAGGCCACGGGCTTGTTTATTGCATTTGACGATGACGACTAAAAGAGTTAAATAGGAAAAACACAAACTTTTCAAATCACTTCCACACATAGACAGAGAATTGAGTGCGGGCCCTCTCTCTCTCTCTCTCACTCTCTCTCTCTCGTAAACCTGATTGGGGCTAACAACAGCAAAAACAAATAAATTTAAAAAAAAAAACACACACACACACACACAACACACATCAAAATGACGACTTCCAATTCTTGAGCTTAACGATGACGAGTAAAAGAAAAATCAAATTAATAACAACGAACATGACAACAAAGAAACATAAGCTTGACAACAACAACAACAACAACAAAATGCAATATACAAAATGCCGTGCGCCAAAGAGGAACAACTACTTTGGAACTTATGATCGAACAAAAGCTGAATATGGCGGAGTATCGGGTCACTTGGATGACGCCATTTTGTTTAGCCAATGCCGTCTATTCGCGCTTTTTGTTGCTTTCGTTTTCCAAGTGCAACAAAAGAAGGTAATTAATAAATATTAATTTTCAAACAAATTAATTACCAAAA